TAAAGCAAGTTCGTGATGAAACGGAGGGAAATACTGTATTCAAAATAACTAATTTGGATGATCATTGTATTACAATAACAGCACCTTCATTTTTACAGGTAATCAACATGGTTGTTAAGAGGACTTCAGTGTGATTGGTAGCACGAAGCCAACAAGTCAGTCCCTCCATGCTCGAACATTGATCCGTGCCCTCGCTTTGGTTGCAGATCACGAGTCTAAATTCTACGTTCCTAAGACCGGAACCAGTTAGCACAACGGACAACCACCGCTGGCGATTTTTTTTTTTACAAGGCGGTATGGACTTTAGAAACCCTAAGAGGACGGCTGATGGGCTGAGTTGACACTACCGAGATAGGAACTTAACATTTCAATCACGAGTCAAACGCCCTACAGTTTCAAACAAGCCACAGAAGTGTAATACGCACTGCCTGTGCCTCTGCACAGACCATCAGCATTATGTTTTTGCAAAAGCGGAGGCATTGTGCCTTTTACACATTGGTGTGCCGTTTGAAACTCGTGTTTTTTCGGCCCGTCCTATAATTCTGTTACGATGGGGTTTTTGTATTTTACAGATTTTGATTGTCCATTCACGGTGCCGATTATTACATGAAACTTTTTTCGTCTTAAGGCAAATATAAAACCTAGCCTTCTTAAAGCTAGTAAATATTTTACCATCAAGTAAACATCACTATTATGCCCTTGATTGTTCATAGCTGGCTCTGGATGGAGCACATCTCATGGAAGATGCATGTAGCTCTGGGACAGCGTTGGTTACTGTTGTATTTAGCGACGCTTCACCGCTTGGTGTTGAGAGCAGGGAGTTGCATTGGCACAGTCACCAACATTAATCTTGTAAAAGTCACATCACCTGGGGCATGTACGGGACCAACCCCAATGTAACCTTCAGCGACTCGCTATACCAGTAGAAAATAGCTTAATGTATTTCAGGCATCCAGGGTTAGTGCCGTGTTCAAAGCAAGTATAGCGAGCAGGAAAATACATTCCAGAGCATGCCCAGGTTAAAGACAATCCTCATTAAGAAACGCGAAAGGCCTTTTCACAGGACTGGTTATATATGTAGGCAGAAATTATTTCGCTCTGTAACGTAGCGGGGGAAGGACAACGAAACACGAGGTTGGTGGCCGATGGTCAAGCCCGGTGACCGAGTGACAGCCAAGGAATGGAACGTGGCCGAGAGGCCGCGCCCAGAGGAGATGTAATGAATAAACGTGCTCGTTTGCAGGCGCCAAGTGGATTACACGGCAGGGTCGCGAGAGACGGCGACCCAATTGGGACGCCCTACAACCAACTGATGATGATCATGATATATATACAGACACGTGTCCCCATTATAGTAGAGTGCCGCTTTGTGGGAAGAGTGGTTGCTGATGGAGATAACGGCCACCACCATGGAATGTGGAATTGTTTGGCACGACGTCTGGAGGCGGGCACCGTCATAAGGAGCAAGGCAACTTGGAAATTAAAGTAACGTTTGAATACATTTTTAAACGCATATAAATCTTACGGAATGTGAACGTCGATTTTCATGACTCCAAGCCATGTAGTTACATGTCTGTTGTTTTTTTTTGTAACGCGGAACAGAATAAACAATAAAAAATTGACGTTTTAAAGAGTCTCAAGATGCAATGGAATGGAGTTGGATTACAATTACTTGAAGGTCAAATAGTCACCCTGCACACATTAGCCCTGGGGCAATGGCAATTCTCATCTCTATTAACGGCTCAGCCGAGGAATACATAATCCACATTCCCAAACGGGAGCCAGTCCATCCGTGCGATAACCACCGTTGAACTTCCACACAAAAAGGGTACACGCAATATCATCAGAATCTTGAGACGTGACGGGTTGAAACGCTTTAAACTCAAGGCCATAGCGGTTGAGTGTAAGCAATGTCCACAGTGCCACACGGCCAATGTTCGAGGCTCGTTGCCTGCAGGGGCGATCGGGCTTTTTGTCAGTGCAGCTTCAGGGCTTTGGGAAACGCTTTGCTTTTGCTGATAAGGGGGGGGGGGGGGGGGGGGGGTCGCGGTTCGAGCCATTTGAGAGCGCCATCAAAACTCGCACTTCTTTAAAACTGGCCTTCAGCAATTGGCACAGTTGGCTCCGTGTGTTACGAAAGATCACCACATGCATACAAACATTTACCACACCCCCCCCCCCTCGTTATGGCCAGTTAACCCCGGTTCGGTGGAGGAAGCTACTGGAGCCGTGCACTTTTAAATCTAGATTGAAAAATAATTTGTTTCGAAGCAGCTGTGTGTTTAAGCTTGTTGTCATTTGTTTCGAAGCAGCTTTGTGTTTAAGCTTGTTGTCATTACCCCAGCACCTCCGATGCGAGCACGGTTAGCCGTTGCGGTGCGAAAGAAGTTCAGCATGCATACATGTCCTGGTTTCGATACACGGCGCGCATAGGGATATCCAGGGATTAAATTGCACCTTTACAGAACGTTAATTATTGTTGTTATTATTGTTACTGCTGCTGCTGCACTACCTTCCTCCTACACAGTAGAGGACTGCTGGGAGGTCAACCGCTTGCCTGTCGCGGGTGCGTAGCGACGCTCCACAGTGTCGCCGTTCGAGATGGTGGCACCGGTAGTCACCTGTGACGGAGGGCCACCTGCCGATAAAACGCAGGGGGGTGGTGGTGCTGGTGGGTAGCACCGCTTTTCATCGCCATTGCAGCGCCCACGCTCTCTCAACGCAGGCCTAGGTGCGCTTAGAGCCATTGCGCTGCATTAGGACAAGCGCGTGAATCGAATGGCAATGACATTAGATTTTTGAATGCAAGTGCAATTATTCATGAATTTCAGACAATCGCTGGACATTAGACAATTTACCTCTCGTTAAGGCGAGACATGAAGAGCCAATTAATTGAAATAATGCAGTTTCATTCACAGTCCATGTGTGCGAATACGTTAATTTGTCAAGCCTAAATACCGTGCACCTGTTTTTACATTAAACCGACTCAATTCCTGTGGAAACAAAATAGAGTACACGAAGATATTCCTTCAATATATTTGTACAAACTTCGAGCTATATTCCCGTGATCAAAAACAAATCGCGACCTTCTAGTTCACAATAAGCAAAGGTGCTCGTCGTCACAATGTTCCAAGCCAGTGGTGGGAACTCAATTTTCTCATGACGTGACTGATATCACCACGAGGACCAACTACAGACTACCAACAAAATTCCACTCCCTCGTTCTGTCGTACCCAGAGGTTACGATCACCGACTGCCAACCAGAAAGGCGAACGTCTTCTTCCGAATTAGAGTCACAAATTCGAACTTCAGGCGGTGCCCAGCTTTCACGACTTCGCAATGCGTTCCTGGAACCTCTATCGCCAATAGGATCGTTGTAAAATCAGACACTAGAAACAGTAGAAACAACATTTGCTGATGTGTTTTTCCTTTTATCAACCATATTTAACAGGGATTAATGGGAAAAAAACCCACAAAATAACACTTGAAAATAACAAAAGTTCACCGCAAAGTCACATCAGAAACCAAAAGACACTCCTTCAGACTCTTTGGTTCTATTCGGTAAAGTCACGTAAAAAACAACAAAAAATAAAATACATTTTTACGACGTTTCGGCCACAACACAAGTGGCCTTCATCAGGTGAAGGGAGCAGACTGTCTAGAGGACAGCGCTGGAGTGAACACAGCCAAGCTCAGACCGCGACCTTTAAGCTGTGTGAGAGGAAGCAGAGCGCCTTGACAAAGGAATTAGCATAAAATTAGCATTTAATTGGCGGACTTAGCATGATGAACGATGTACAGGGGGGGAGCATGTGCAGACCGGCGAGGAGGGGAAGGGGAGTTTACATATTGATGGTGTGAAAAGGGAATTTGAGCAGCTGCGAAAGTTTGGGATACCACTACTTGAAAAAATATACTGTACCATTGAAAATTAGTTTAATGTTTGGTTTGGTTTGATTCAGAACATCTTTCCAATGGTTGCTTAATTTGAAAGCATCCTCTCGGTTGAAATTGTGTCTGTGTTTGTAAATCTGAATTGCCTCGTGAACAAATCTCTGATAAAAACCCGTGGGTTTGCAAAGAACCTTGGTATCGGAGAAAATTATATCGTGATCACCCAGTGTTGTAACAGTGATCAGCTGTAGTATTTGGAGTCATGTCGAAGACGCATCGTAAATCAAGTTTCTCCGTCGTAAATCGATCCATGTGGCATTATATAATCGTCGTAAATGTGGATCGTAGTAAACCGGAGACCACCAGTACATTACCCACAGCCAATTACAGAGTTGACAGACCAAAGCAACTGCGTCAACTACAAAAGACAAAGCTCCTCCATGTAACCTTAACAAGCTGTTGGGGCAAGGGCTGTTAGCGAGCACCTATGAAGGCCGGCACGGCACACGAGGGTGGCCAGCACCACGTCTGGCCGCCTTTGTCTCCCTAGTGGCGATGTTTTCACACCGCACCAGGGAATCATCTGAGGCTGAGTCGACCGGGAGGGGGGGGGGGGGGGAGGCCCAGGACCGGTTCAGATAATCGTCACTGGTGTTGTCCGTGAGCGGGAATCGAACTCGGGCCGCCGGGTTCGTAGTACAGCAACAAGACAAAGATCCCCCCATATAGCCTTAACAGACTGTAGGTGCAAGTGCTGTTAGCGAGCACCTATGAAAGCCGGTAACGGTACACGAGGGGGTGGGTGGCCAGCACCACGCCCGACCGCCTTTGTCTCCCTAGTGGCGATGTTTACTACACACCGCACCCAGGTACTCATTTGAGGCTGAGTCGACCTAGGGGAGGGCCCGGCAACGCCACCCGAATCACACGCGTGCACTCACGCACGTGCACGCACTCACACGCACGCCCCTAAACACACGCACACGCGCGCTCGTAAACAGACGCACGTGCGCCCCTACACTCGTCTGTACTCGCGACACGAGCACCCCCTGCCGCCGCCACCACCACCACCACCAGTCCTCCAACCCCCCCCAACCTCTCCGTACGTTTTGCGCCACGGTGCGCGGCGTGCCCACTGCGATCGCTGTCCGTGGACTGGGCGCTGGCGACGGACGCGGAGCCGGGGCTGGGGCTGCGCTTCCTCAAGGCGGGCAGGGCCAGAAGCCTTTGGCCGGCGGCCGTGTTGGTGTGCGGATCACCTGCGTCGCGGTGCAAACGCAGCAGAAGCGGCGGCAAACGCTGAACGCGAAATTTTGGCTTTCACGGCGATCTGGTGGCACGCGGACACACCTCCGATTGGCACGGTTCTAGCACGTACGGTGCGCGAAAGAAGTGTATTGTAAGAATGGGGGGTTTTCCCCCTTTTTTTTTCCCTGGCAATAAAACAGTTTGTGTTAAGATGTTAAAAAAAACGGCAAAACTGAAACCTCTTGCAAGGAATCGTGTCTGCATTAACCACAGATACTTGTGGTGAAAATGCAAACAAAAAACATGCTCTGACAGTAGATGCATTGTCTTTGAAGCCGATTGGTCCACACCTGAGACAGCTTTGTTTAGAGCCTAGTATCAAACAAACAGTTACAACAGACATGTATTATACATACGTACGCCACTCCACGCGCCATGTTTCACCTGCACGTAGTTTTTCCGTTAAATAATTTTGCAATGCAAGATGCAGTCGAGCGTTTCACCCAAATGTGTTGGTCAGTGGGGTTACTTCGCTGGTATAATAAAATGTACCACGAGGCCCTTGAAATTGCAGGGCTAGGTCAGCAAGCAGACGGATTTGACACTTAGCGTCACCCACCATTCATTCTCAAGAGTCCCTTAACAATTTCCATCTTACACCTTCACACCCCATGCGAAGGAGCAATCTACAATACTCTGCATGTACTGCTGCTATGCAGTTGGATGAAGCCATTTAGGATGGCTTGACAAACATTAGCACGATTATATATTCAGTAACACGATTACAAGTTCAAAAGATCGTTTCCTCTATAGTCGATAAAACATGTACCGCACCAAATTTGTGCAAAGTAAAAATGTGGAATGTTTCCCACAGATTCTAGAGCATCACGGAGCACTGCTGTACAATGGAGCACGGTTGGCAGCGGTGGCGATGACAGGCGAGGATTCAGCAGAAAGGCCACGAGGTACACCCACACGGAGGGTTCCGCTAGTCGCGACTGCACCACGAGGCCACCTGTTTTGATGCAAATATTATCAATGCTAACGTGGAGCATGCCAAGGAGTGGCCCGTCAGAAAGCATGTCACAGGAGGCTTTATTCAACCAGCTACAAAGCAATGCACTTCGGCACTTCATTCTACAGTTGCTACCCATCTAAAGAGTGTTATTTTCTTTTTTTGCAATAAAATTTGGTACAAATTTTTATTTAACTGGCGACCAAAAAAAACTGGCGACCAACTTATTGAACACTCGGCATTAGCCGCGTGTCGCATACGGTATGTAGAACTTCTTTCGCAGCTGCTATGTTTTAAACACTGCTGGGCATGGAGCCCTCCACCGTAGCAGATTGACCCGCACGTGAAATACACATTAGTGAAGAGGTGTGCAATAGAAGAAAAAAAAATGCCATTTTAATACGAATTAAATTTGGAAGAAACCACAAAATTAACACCGGTTCTAGCTACGCTGCACGAGTAAATCCAGCGAGCGTCGGTCATCGCGGTGAACCTGCGACGACGGTGTTGTTGGGGTTGTCCGGTTGCGGCCGAGCGGGGACGGTGGCGCGTGTGGCAGGAAGCCTGGAGGCTCCTCGGCATCCGGGTAGGAAGGAGGGGGGCCTCATAGAAGTGGAGCGGCCCCTGCCGGATGAGACGGGGCCCGTGGGGCGCAGGCTCCCGTTGGAAGGTTGGAGCAGGCATCCAGCAGCAACCTTGGCCGAGTCTCGCCCATTATCGGCCGTGACCTGCAATGTTACGTATGCATGTAGAACTTCTTTAGCACTGCAACGTAGCCAACCGTGCTAAAATCGAGGTGCGGGGGGTGGGGGGGGGGTAGGGAGTAGGAACGACAAACTAAAACACAAAAAGTAGTTCTAAAAGAAATTATAGTTTTAATCTAGGATTGACAAGTGGATAGCTCCAGTGGCTGGCTTCCCAATAACGACGTAGACACGGCGGCGCAGAGACACGCGCGACGCGAGCCGAAGCATCGGAGAGTCTACCGAGGCAGCGACACGGCGCGGTTGCCGCTCGTTTCAGGTGGCTACGAGGTTCGAATTCTGCGGGCGACCCGCAATGATTACGGCGGGTGCAGTAACCACAACAAAAACAGTCCACGTGCTTAACAATGGACGTGAAAAATAGTGACGTCAAGAACAATGGTAGCCGCCCATTGCGCGCCAGCGTCAGGGTCCAAATTGGAAAGGTCACCCTGCAATTTTTATGAATTGGGAGCGTAGCATGGCCATCATCAACCCCCCCCTGTTCCTGTCAAAACCTGGCAGGACCCTCCCAAAAAAGGTGTCCAAGTGAGCGAGCCTCTCGGGGATAAAAAAAAAGCGTAAGTAAAAGAACAATGGGTTCACTGACAAGTGTGCACGTTGAATGCGGACGACCCCATTAAAAATAATTACAATTATATAAAATGGTAAACCGCAAGTCCCCCCACCTTGCTTCTTGGCATTTTGCTTCGGCTGTGCTGCCAGCAACCACGCCCTGCCCCGTTGGAACTTAATGTTCATATTCTCCCCAGAAACATGCAACATCAAGAGAGTTCCCAGCACATTCGTGGTTACTTGTGTTCTTTCATTAGGCATAATTATATGGAAAGCACAAAGACCTGATTTTGAAGGGCACGCGTCGAATTGTGATGCATGGCATTACTGCGTCAAAACACGTTTCATTACACGGTCGGTCTGTGACGGCGAAGTCAATAATTTACTCACGCAAACACACGTCATTAATTTGAAGGAGCCAATAGGTCAATGTTATATCAACTTAGATCATGATACAATTATCGAAATATATATTTAAAAGATAAATGTTTTTTTGCTTGAAACCAATCTTCAGTCCGTAATAAATTAGTGGTTACACAATTCTAAAGGTAAATTAATATTACAAATGGCCAAGTTGGTTTTTGCACAGCATCAGGCAGTGCAGCAATTTCCACTGGAATTCATTGCTGCACCCTTGACCATCACACACTGACCACGGTGAAGTATGGTTAAATATCCCCACAACGCTGAAAACGATAATAAAATGGGCGTACGTGAACACGTACACAACGATAGTGTGACCAAGAGCAATCGTCCAATAGAAAGGGGCGTCCAGCTTTGGGAATTGGAATGTCCACTCCTCATGGCTGCCGACAAATAATTCCTTTTTGGAGTATGGAGACAATTTGAGTACGTTATGGTAATTAATGTAATTGAATAGTACAAACAATTACCTTTATGCCCAGGAAAGCCTTTGCGTACCGAAATGTTTTTCAAAAATCAGGTGACGACTTGGACGTTTGGCCAAATTTGTTTTCGTATTTAGCTGCTATACATTTACACATGATAAACCAATTTGTTGTGGCCAGGTTGCTTCTAAAAATACATTCAGCTTAGTGGGCTTTACCTTGCGAAATAAAACATAGTTGAGTTTATATTCATGGGGTCTTTCGGTAAAATCACGTAGATAGGTTGAAAGAAAATAACATCTACATGACTTTACAAAAAGACCCAAGGGAATATGAATTCCTGCAGTCACGAACGCTTCAAGTCAAGATCGAGTTGAGTTTAGTTTGTTTCCAGAAAATAGGAGGAAACCCAAGCAGGCAGACAATTCATGTGCATGAACAGACAAATCTAAATTATAAAATGGGAAAAATAAACCACTTATTTTCTGCACCGCCTTTTACTAGCCAAGTCTTAGATACCCAGGCAGGTGTCCCACACACAGCAATCTCCATCTGGACCCAAAACAATCACGTGCAACGAAGTCCAGACCATTTTTACCGCAATGTATTATGATTATATATTACAGAACATATTCCCTAAGGATACGATCTGGAGATGCCCGTGAATATGGAAAATGTTGATCAACAAAAACCCATCGTTTTAAATTAATCACCTTAAATAAACGGTTTCTCACTCTACCGCATCACATTCTCTAGCGTCACTTTCTCACTTTCTTTCCCACTGTCGATGCAGTTGCAGTGCCAAATGCGATTCGCGGATGGCCAAAAAACCGCTGGATAGCAACTTCGTGAGTACCGAGGGAACAATACTGCATCCATTTCTCACCATTGTCAAATGCGCGCTTCCGACTGTAGCTTCCTCTAGCGGCACACCATCGACAGCAGACCTCACGGGCGCAGGCTCTGCTTTGCCACCATGTGTGGGTCTCGTTGGAGCCCTCAGCTTGGAGCCAAACAGAGGCTTGAGCTGCCTCGCCCTGACTTGGCCGCTGGATGGAGCGCCCTTCTCCGAGTGGCCGTCGCCCGGGCCGTTTGGCTGCCGCTTGAGGGCGGAGACCACGACGTTCGGTGCTTGGGCCGGTGCGCCTCCCTGCGAGGGCCTCTGCATCGGCGGCTTCGTGGCCCTGGGCGACGGCCTCGCCGCGTTGGCCAAGGGAATCCTGGGGGACATCTTCATGGCCCCCAAGGCGGCGGGCCCATCGCCGTCCAGATGGGGGCAGCCCAACACTTTACTCGGCCTTTGCGGAGTGACGACGGCAGCGGTTCTCCTCCCCGCGGCGGCTCCAGTTACCCCGGCCTTCATCGGTGTGCACAGCTTGCTCGAGCTGCCAGGCTTCGACGGCGTATTTGCCAATTTCCTCGCAACACCGTCATTCACCTGCTGCCTTGGCCTTGTGGGGCTGCTGTATTTGGTGGGGCCAGCTGCCAACAATTTTGTAAGACACAGCGATGAAGGCAGCACCCGTCTTGGAAACGTTGGCAAACCCCTGGCTTTGAACGCTGCTGCAGAATTGTCTCTTGGCTGCATCACAGCCGACGCTTTGACCTTTGACGGCAACAATTCACCTCGTGTGTCCACACCGGCCATGCTACGTCCCGTGGGATCGGTGGCCTTCACGGGATGCTTAAACTTCTCAACGTTTGTGACGGTGGCACGGGCAGCCTGACCAACCACAGTGGGTGGGATTCTCTCCATGGACTTGTTTGGATTTGACATCTGCAGCTTCTTCTGTGTCACGTCGAGGCTCCAAGCTTTTCGGACAACTGTCGGTAGCTTTTTGGCATTTGAAGCTTGATCGTCCGTTGTCACCCCCCCACCAGCAGTTAGGGTTTTCTTGGACGCCTTGACGGCTGTGCTCTCTGTTGTCCTGTTGATAGAAACCGGCAGCGTTCGTTTGTCAAAGTTGAGTTGCTGCGGCAAGCTATTCAAAGAGCATATCGACGAGGAAGATATGGTCGAAATCTCACCGAGATCGTTGTCTCCAGCAAACATCACCGTGGGCACGAGGGTTTGTGCGCACCCATCGTCAACGAGCGGAGTGGACGTGGTGTGACCAACCAAGCTTACTTTTTGCAAATCAGAGGAGCCGTTGGGCGAATGCTTGCACTTTAACATGGTGCAGTCACCAGTAATGCGCCGATGATGAACATCACTACCTAAGGGTGCACCAATCTGGGTCCTCTTTGGGTCATTAATGCAAAGAGGCCCATTTTCACCACCAGCCTTTGGCAGTACACCAAATCCCTTTGGCCTTTTTCTATCAACGAGTTTCTTTTCCACCATTGCAGCCGGTAGACTTGTTGCAGTAGAATTGAGATTGTGAGACGCCACGGTCATCATCGTAGAATCTATATCAGGCAGCGAAAGCCCTTTTGTGACGTTGGCTGCCATCTTCTCCACTGCGACCACCTCCGCTGCGCGGCCAGTGGAAGACGCCGCATCTTCGGCTCTGCCAAGCGCACACATCGTCTCATCGAGTGCACCGTGTTCAAGAGCTGCCAATGCTGTCGTACACACGGTATCGGCACCCACTTCGGTCAAAGCCAATTGCTCTTTTGAAATCACCTCCAGAGCCGCCGCGTTGTGCCGCAACATAAATTTCGGCGGTTCACTGGCAGCCATTTTGTTCGCTTGCCGACGCTCGGCCATCGTATCCAGCACTTTTGCGTTTTCCCGCGGCAGCACGATGGACTGCATCGGCAAGCACTCGTACATTTCCCGAACGTCGACGTTGGAGGTTTCATTCCAGGTCAGACACCGCAACGGGGTCTCCGGGCTGGAATTCAGCGACTCCCGCTTCTGAGGATTCCTCGTCCTGATCTCGTTAATGATGGCCACGCAATCCTTCTTGATGCAACTGTTGTACGCAAAGCTGTCGCAAGCGGGGCCCCGCAGCAGCTCAGCGTTGCTCTCGTCAACAGACGGCTGCCGCTGAACTCGTTGCCGTGCGGTGCCAGGCAAGGGGATTTCCTTCTGCATCGCGTCGGTACCCACGAGACCACGGTGAAAATATCCCATTGGAGTTTTGCAAGGTGGGACAGCACGAGCGATTGGACTACTAGATTTGATGGCCCCCGGCGTCAGTGCAGATGGGTTTGAAGCGTGGTTTTGAGGTGCCACGCATTTGGGCAGTGCTATAAATTTACCGGTTCCTGTATCGTCCTCGCAACAGCAGATATTTCCATCCAAAGCATTCGCAACGTGGCAATTCACACAATGTCTTCCTGGACTACTGAACAATGGTGTGTTGCTATGCATTTGGTCGCCACGGTATAAATCTTCGTACGAACCCAGAGGTTTACATCCCAGCAACTCATCGTCAGTTTCCAAACTGCAGTCCTGAATAAATGTTTTGTGCTCCTGCAAACGGCCACCATTGGCATTTTCCAGTGGCTTCCTTCCTCTTCCCACTGCTGCTCCTCTTCTTGCGCCACGGCTCCCACTCAATTTTAAGTCACGCCCACACCCCACAACTGTGTCACTCGGCAGAGCACGGTTGAGGTGGTCGCAGCCAGCGCCGTGTGCTCTTGCCGCCTCCTCCACCACACGAGGATCGCCCCCCCTGTTGTGCAGGAGGGCATCCAGCCGCACGCCCCCTGGCCCGGCACAGCCTTGGGGCCGCATGGCGCCAGCTTCGCAGACCCCGCTCGGCGCGGAACGCGAGGACGTGCCATTTCGAACGAGCACGGTATTATTCCTTCTCATGGGCGTCGCGAATGATCCGTCATCGGTGCCCATCTTACGAAGCTCCGTGGCGGCGACGCCACCGCCAGGCTCGCCACGGTTGCCCCGGGGTTTAGCCTCGCGCCCACTCAAAGCGGGCGACTTGGCGAACATGCCGGGCGCCGCCACGGAAACGTCGGAGCCATTGCTGGAGAGGGGGCTGCTTTCGGTCTCCGATTTCCCATCTGCCGGGCCACGGTGACCGTCACCCCCTCTGGGTGGAGAGGGGTTCCCCGGGCCCGTGGTGGCGCCGAGCGACACAGAGCGGCGGCACGTCGTTTCCCAGGGACGCGCACGCGGGACGGACGCCTGTCTTTGCGACCCCTTGGCATTGCTCATACTTTGCTGTTGTGAACCCTGAGGGTGGGGAAAAAAAAAAACCATGAGATCACACGTAAACATTTCAAAAACACCAGGTCAAGGTTTTGCAAGTTCAAGTCGCCAAAAGTGGACGCGAATAATTGCGTTTCTGTTGAATTTTGGAAATGCGAACGAGTTAATGCTGTGACGCAGGAAACAACCAAAATGGCAATTTTTTAAATACTAAATGGCGGAAGGGAGTAAACAAGTGGATACCTGATGAGTCATAGAAAGGCCAGGCTGTCCTGTGGTTTAAGCATTCTAACAACAACCAGAATGCTGAGATCCAAAATCCTGGTTGGTTATCAAGCAACTGAAATGAGTACTGCTCTTTTTGAAAGTTAACAAAGGTTGTGTGCAAATTCTATCCCATGTCATGAGAATGTGAAATTTCCACCATTGGTTCTTATTCTGTAAGAGCCTCGGTGGAGTTAAAAATCGCTTAAGGATGGGGGGGGGGGAACACGTATTGTTATTTTCAGCCGATCCCTTCTATACTGCAATGCAAATTATCAAAATAGTAAATTGCACATCACTCCGGTATATATACTCGTTTGAAAAATGGGATGGTGTAATATCTAAATGAAAGACAAATGTCATCTTATGTCATTTAAAAAGTTTAACCAGTGGGCAACTTCAGACATGTTTATTTACAGGCGTCACAAATGACGTCACCCATCTAATGAGGCTGTGGTGCTGCTGCTGATTAACGGCTTGCAGCTTGAAATGTTCAATCCGGGCTGACTGCAGTTCCTTTGGAGTTCAGCCACGATAAGTGGGGAAAAAAACTATTAACAGCCAAGCCCTTTTTCACTCCCTGACCTCGCATTTTTAAGGCTCTCCATGGAAGGAGCATTTCACCGATTAATAGCTATGGAAGTTTATTGCATTACCAATTCATAAAGCCTGTCTTCGCCAGAGAAAATGTTTGAATAGATATAACACTGAACCCGATAGGATATATTTTTTTTCAATTTATATCTACGATCAGACATTAAGAACTATTCCAAAAATTCGTATTTTTCGGCAAAAAGTTGACAACTTTATTCAACTTCTATTATTTAAAGACATACCCATTGAAAACCGCTCAATTTAAAGATTCAGTTTGTTTATTAAAGAACAAAAATGAATGTAATACTTGAGTTCTTATTTTTACGGTTTTTGAATTATTCAGATTTGAACATTATAAAATTTGTATTTTTTCGGTCAAACCCACTTGAATCCGAAATCAACAGTAAAAGATAGAATGGTTCTCACTTTCATTTTATTTGCTGTTTAAAGGCTCTTTCAAACGAAAAATACCGCAATCTTTTATTTTTAACGGTTTATGAATTACACACAAATATGTTTATGGGGCACTTAAAATCGAGATTTGGGGGCCTTAAAATGAAACTTTTAGGATCGTTTTTCCTGTTGTGCCCCAAAAGCTACATATGTACCCAATTGCAGCTTTCTACCTTGTCGGGAAGTAGCCCTCGAGGTTTGCGAGACGAATCAAGGTTTTTATTTATGTACATAAATAAGCCCGAGCTCCTGAAAATATTTCCCAACCCTACCATGAGAAATTAAGCTCTGGCAATGGGTTTCTGCACAATCGCGAGCAGGACAAAATCTCACACGTCCAAACATCAGATGCGCAATGTTGATGTGCCCGGGGGGGGGGAGGGGTGGGAAGGGGGCGTGGGGGACCACGTCACAAGCAATAACCTCGGTACTCGGATTTTTCCCAGCAATATAGGACTAAATTGCCATCTCATGGAGCTCGTCAAGTGTAGCAATACATGCGTGGGGACAACCCACCACTTATGGGTTTTTGAACTCCCGACTATTTTTATTTAATGCTTTTCGACCCATGGAGCTTGTAGGCATCGGCTTGGCGTGGCACTGCATTACTAGTTGGTCTGGTTTGTGCTCTTCGCCATATAGCAAACAGGTTATAGAGGTGGCGAGGCGGGTCGATGCACGCTTCACAGCTAGGCAACCAAGCCACATACAGTACAAAAACATGTGTGTTGTCTTAAAGCATGGGTACAGTGTACCTCTTATTCGTCTTTCCACACAACAACTTTTTTTATTGTCCGTTAGGACATTATTTTCAGACCAATACCCATCAGTGTTTGGGGGGGGGGGGGGATCTACATTAGGAAAGCCTATGGACTAAAATGTTTGTGTCAAGACAGGCATGTTTTTTAGACAGTATCGGGCAACTTGATGAAATGGCTCAAATATCTTGGAGATTGACCACATTGCTGGCAATGGGACACATTGGCACATTTTCAAAAGGAAAAAAAAGTATGAATTTGCCAACACGCAATTGGGATGTTTGTGTGGTGGTGGAAAGTTGATCCAACAGGTTTACAACAATTGTCGACCCCCCCAAAAAAGATTTCACTACCCCCCCTCCCCCCCCAAAAGAAAGACTGTTACTGTGTAGGCATATATACCTACACACCCCACAATTACCAATAGTATCTGCACACGGAGGGGGGGTAAGAGGACATCGGTGGGGGCGAGGCGCGAGAAGCCCTCCGTAGGAGCGAGCGGCCGCCGAAATTCTCGCGTCACGAACAGCCCTCAAGGTCCACGTGCCGCGCAGTTTCCCCAAAACAAGGCGATCCCATTCCTACCGCACCACTAGAAGTGCGCGCGCGCGCACGTGCGGGGGAGCGGTTAGCGCTACGCTGCGCCACGAACCTGGCGACCCGGGTTCGATTCCCGCTCACGGCCAACACTAGTGTGACTTTTATCTGAACCGGTCCTGGGCCTCCCCTAGGTTGACTGCCTCAAAAAGTGTACCTGGTGCCGTGCGGAAACGTCGCCACTCGGGAGACAAAGGCGGCCGGGTGTGCCGTTGGCCACCCCACCCCCTCTCGTGTGCCGTGCCGGCCTTTATAGATCGTCCCTTGTGTCAATCCACCGCTAGACTATTGCATCCCCCCCCCCACCACCACCACCCCACATCGTGCGTTGAGTTTTTCGTGATCACAACTTAGAGCAGCACAGGCGTGGTCAGTGGGGCTACGTGAACGCAGAGCAGCGCAGGCGTGGGCGGGATGCGTGCATAATAACCACGACCCATGCAAAATAACCACGACCCATTTCCCCGCCAGCCTATTAACACCTGCTTGCCGTGCGCTCAAACCTCGCTCCGCTCGCGACATTTGGGCGCATTCCGGCCGATGTGGTTCTATTGAGGCGTGCGCGAACGAAATCCGCCCCTGACCGCCGTGAACTCCGTAACTCGCGTCAACAATTCGCGATCGGCGTGCCCAAAACCGCACTGGCCGGTTTGCACCGCCTCCCCACGCACAAAATGCCTCCACAAGCCACTCGTTTCGTACGAGCATTAAGACAAAGCCATGGCAACGTCATTTACTTGTTTACATTAACCGTTGAAAAATAATCGATACTTTGAAAACAACAACAACAACAACACGCGCTTAAACACGAGCAGAAGTGTATCGTGCAACGGTCAATTTAAAATATATTGGTTGGCTGCAAGTGAGAAACTACACACATACCCGGGACAATATTTTAGGTGGATAAGGCATAACGATTTTGAAATTAAGCAAGAGAGCGCAAATTAGAATGCTTTAAGAAAACACGATTGAATTAATAAAAACGAAATCTAACAACAAATGTCCCTGGAAAATCAAGTTGTAACGGCGGCGCATATTACTCACTAACACACGGGGACACCCACATGGAGAACCGCGCTTTAAATTGCGCCTCCGATTAGCACGGTTGGTAAAGTACGGTTGCAAAAGCAGCGCACCATACGTATACACGTGGATCAGGAAACTATCGCCGATTTGAGCAATCCTATTGGCTGCTAAGGAAAGCAAGTGGGCTCGGTGTCAGGGCACATCGCAATAAGGGATCGTTACCCATGGACAAGACTGGTGCTGGAATGGCAGCCAAACGAAGAGAAACACACGCCGAAGAGGAAGACCACTGCAGAGTTGGGAGGATGGAGCTGAGAATGTGCAGGATTGTGGCATCGCAAGGACCGTGAGGGATGGAGACTGCCGTGGAGAGACTTTCATCCAGCAGTGGATACACAAAGCCGTATGCCCGGCATGCCTGCCATACGGCTAACCTCCAACATACCAGTGTGCTGAAGTAGTAATTAAGTGGCACGTTTTGCTAACGTGACAACCCTTACGAATTGGCTGTCGGGTGGTGGTGGGTTGACACATTTATATTTAGACTTAACTTTCGTGACTGCAGGAATTCATATTCTTAGTTCTTTCGGTAAAGTCACGTTAATAGAAAAATAAAAAATGAAAATAGAAATATTAAGATAAAATTGAAATAATAAATAGAAAATAAAAGCAAAAACCCACGACGTTTGGCTCGCAACGAGTGGTCTCCGCCTGATGAAGACCGCTTGTGTAGCGATCGAAACGTCGTAGATTTTATGCTTTTATTATATGATTAAAATTTTATCCTAATATTTTTATTTAATTTTATTTTTGCTTTTGTTTTCTATTTACATGACTTTACCGAAAGAACCAAGAATATGGACACATTGATATTTACGCGATCCAACCCAAAAAAAAAACTTTCTTAGACGTATTATGAAGTGAATTAGGTTCTACACCCCATATATACAAGATTATCGTCTTAATCACGCCTTTACAATGTCAACGAGGGATTAAAAGCATCCAGACAATTACTGGACGGTAATTGATAAGCACAATTACATAAATACTGTACAGGTGCAAGGTACATTGACGAAGCAACACAAACGTAAGGCGACAAAACTTCGGTTTAGGTACCAAATTTAATTATCAAAATGTAAAGGTGGTCAAGTAACGAGTAAAATAGTAACTTTAAAACGTTAAGATTGCATCGTTGTTGTTATTATTAAACAAATGCAATTTAAAAAATAATCTGCTAAAAAGGCATGTGATGACTGGTACCTTTATAAGTGAAATGTACATGCAGTAAAACAACACTTGTAGGTGCGCACAGCTTTATGTTATACTAGAAAATTATTGCAGATTGTCTTAGCGGATGATAATGTATACAACTATAATCACACCTCCTACCTGCTCGAAGCTTGGATATCGTAGCTTCGAAGTTTGCCGTTTTAAATTGAATCTCTTTCCACGACTGTAGACGAGTCCGTGTCGACTGACCGACTACGTACGCACACACATCAAATGTCTACATACAAACGCACAGCGTAAGATATAACCGCCCGGGTTTCTCTGCTCTTTTAGAACTTAAAATTGCTACCCAGCAGCGACATAGCGAAAAGAATCTGCCTGCCCAGAGCGAGCCAAGAAGAGCAGGCGGCTGTTCCACATAAATGCATTAACTTCATCCTGGAAGCGCCCCTGCGTTGCACCAACACCACGCCCCTCCCCGTCGTGTCGCCAAATCCACCCTTCACAATAAAAGTCGATTCTATTGTTGTTGAGTGGGCATAACAATGCGCAACAATCATTCACTCCGGGTGGAACAATGAGCCGTGGTGGGGGTGGGGGTGGGGGCGTCACGTGCGGTGGGGGTGTTGCGTGTGAATGGGGCTGATAAGTGGCAACGCGTTACGTCTCGACGTGCGGATTAATGATGCAAAACTTGTCCGTTAATAACCCACCTCCACCCGACGCAGCCAATTATATAGTACGGCTTTGTCGCGCGGGTTAAACGAGGCGTTTATATTTTAGGCGATCGAATCCCCGGAAAAATAAAAAAAAATAAACTTTAAGCGCGAATAATGTTGGTCGCGAAAGGCTCCGTGTTAAATCGACAGCGCAAATTGGCGAGTGTGCTCTTGGGCTTGCACCTGATTGCACATTCTGCAATCGCCTTACCGCAGTAATTTAATTGTCGCATGAAACTGCTCCTGTATTTTGTGCAACTTGTTTTATATTACGGGTTTTAATTCAAGTTACTTCCATATGTACTCTGACGCAATTCTCTGCCTCAAGCACCTCAATGTTACATTCTAGTTACTGTTCTACGTCGCCTTTTGGCGTCCTTTGGTCTCACACCGTTTGAGACGAGGCTCAAAAGAAAGCTGTCTCTGGTATGGATTCATCAGTTCCAAGGACGATGCATATATTAGCAGTGTGTTTTTTGTTTGTGTTTTCACCACAAGGAAATGTGGTTAATGCAGACATGATTTCTTGCAATAGGTTTCAGTTTGGTGTTTTAACATCTTAACACCTGTTTTGTTGCCAGAAAAAAGGGGGAACCCTATTATCAAAGAATAACAATTAAGTATACAGTATTGGATATGCTATTCATATTCAGTTACTATTCAATATTTTTTTATTTACGCGTGCTAATTTTTGCTTACATAGAGCCACCCACCGAGTACATGGAGTCTGTGCAAGTGGCGAGGTGGAGTATGAATCTAGATTTGAAGTTTTCGTGACTGCAGGAATCCATACGCTTTGGTTATTTCGGTGAAGTCACGTAGGTAGAAAATAAAATAAATCACGACGTTTCGGACGCAACACCAAGCGTCCGTCATCACCGAAAGAACCAAAGAGTATGAGGTGGAGTATCTATCACTGCACGGGCTGGACAAGAGATGGAGTGATGCTGTACAGAATGATGTGGAGCTGAGTGGATTTGCCGATGACTGATACCAGCAGTGTCAAGATCGGCCTCTGTGGAGGAGGTTCGTGAAGGACGCTGCTGGGGGAGTTGGAGGCATTCGCCCTCCAGCAGCAACGGAAGGCAGAGGAGCGACGCTCACAACAACGAGCGGAGCGCCGGGCGGTTAAAACCAAAGAGAGCTTGCACGGTTTCAGAGCACAGTTTGTGCATCTGCCAATCATGCCATTAATCTCAGTTAGTCAACCCATGGCACCTGGGTCTGTTCCATGACATCCTTGCCAGCGGACCTCCGAAAAACTTCATGTGGTCACAAAGTGCACCTAGCCTGGCACGGGTGCCGTAGTGACGTCACCGTGACTTAGTGGTGAACGGCGGTTGTGTGTTTTTTGCAGTATCACAACGGAGGATCGCAAGAGATGACGCGGCGGTTCGAGGGAGGCGTTCACCCAGCAGACGAAGATTGACCGCGGATGACGGTGATGAATTGTCGCTCGCATGCCGACCAATTACCCCAGGACATTGCAGACGATCTGCAGGGCATGCAGGCAATCGGTCCGGAGAGCGTCGTGCCCTGCTCAAGCCCATTACTTCTCTTAATTGGCAATTGGCTTTAAATAAATAAATATCGGCGAAGTTTCTTAATTCAAGACGTTTTAATGAAAAAAAATACGATACTGTATGTTGTATCCTATTAAGTATCTATAATATAATGAGTCGCCTGCCTCAACGCTCTGAAATCGCTTCTAATGCTGTGGTTACAATTTACGTGAATTCTGCGAGACTGTTTCGTCTAATCCATACCGTGAATAGCCACCGTACTGCAGGTTGAAACTCCTGGATATACAATAATGTGAAAAATAATATCAATTCAGAAAATATCATCATCATATATAATAAATGAAATATAAATTACAATTCCTTATAGGGGAAACAAATACTAATTAATAACAATTGAATTATTACCAATCTATCATACAATTACAATAGCCTCCCCCTCCCCGCCTAAAAAAAATCACTGCGCCAGATTGGGTCAAATGATGACGTCACCCTGCTGCTGCTCGATTTAAGACCGGGAGCAAGCGAGGGCTTCACCATTCGGGCAAATTGCCCGATGACGCTGGATGAAATTACCAGCGAAACGGGGTACTCAAACATTGTTAATGATGTCGATTCCCTCGTCAACACACCGGTGGGCTGAAGTAGTGAACTATTTTTGTCTTTTGTAAACGTGAATTTTTTTTTTACTGTTTGGCCGTGTCGGGTGGTGGAGGGTTACGACACATTTATAAATAACGCGATCTAACCCACAAACCTTTATTATGAATACAGTACTATACGGATGTCTTGTGATCCTCGGTTAATAATCTACAATCTCAATAATTGTTCTTTAAAGTAAGGTTAATTTAAAACAAATTAATATGCAAAGGCAAAATTATGTAATGGGGTTAAATTGATTGGAGGTCACAAGACATTTGGACCACCTTGGAAAATCTATGCTTCCAGTTTCCTGGCTCGCTGCTGGCTGAGCTTTCCACCCCGACAATAACTCTATTGTTAGTAGCCGTTGCCAGCGAAACTAGCTGGGTAACTGGCGATACCGGATATTCCTTATAACGCAAACAAAAAATGAATTGAAGAATACGTTCGGAAGACAACACTCATCCTCACGGAAAGCGACGCCGTTCGTAAGACAACGCTGATTATAATCATGGGAAGCGATGCCGAAGAGGTGGGAGTAACGAATACAGGCGACTGACCACGGTTCATTAAAGTCACTCCAACTTTCCAATTTGTGCTCCGATTAATGTATTTATTTCGTCTTGGAATTTTTTCGCAGAAAAAAACATTCACTTGTCGTACAGGATGATGAAATGAGTGTGGGAATTAAAGTTGTCTTATTTTTCGCTAGCGAGCAACGTGTTTTCCCACTCGTTATATTACATTTCATTTTACAGCACACGTTATAGCGATTGGGAAAACAGTAATCATCGTCTCTTACAGCCATAAACTTAGGAGCTTCCTGAAAAAAAAGATTTAACTTCGGCTTTTCCGGGGAAATAAATGGTTCCACAGTAGTAGTAGTAATAATGCATTACATGAGGGCTGCATTACTTTGCACACACCTGTCAACCCATAGGGTTTACCCGTTTTCTTGTACAGGTAAATTGAGTTTTCAGGTCCATACGGCGTACAGCCGTTTCAATACGGGCAAAAACATTTTGTCTGTTTGTGTTTCTCCCGTCTGATGGCACTTTGTAGGATGAACGTTGAGATGTATCAGGGCACGCGATGACCAATGAGGTCTGAATTTGTCTGTAATCAGGGAGGGCACTGATAAGGGGTTGACGGGAATAGATAGAAGATTCACGGTAATCGGTACGGTACAATTGGCAACATTGTTGCATCGTGATTATCGTTGTTTTATTGCATTGGTATTCATAGTTTATTTAAGAACAAAATATGTATTGAATAGCAAACTCCCAATTTTCAACATTGTAAATAGCTATTAAGTTATATATTTAGATTAGTTTGCGTCTATAAACTTCCAATATTATAAGCCACTTACAACGAGCTATCATTTGTGGCCAGGTCGCTTCTGAAAAATAAGCTCATATTTCAGTGGGCTTTATATGGTAAGATAAAAAAAAGTTTGGTTGCATCTGCATATTTTTTAAAAGTTATTTGTTTGCCTTTCCTATACTTTGCACTCCTGTCGTGTTTGTGTTAGATTCCTCCATGATACAAGAACTGGAGGAATCTAACAAGAACTCCTCTACTTACGAACACTCGACTTACGAACTTTCAGAGAAACGAACAAACATGTGCTTAGGGGCCATCCATTTAGTACGTATGCATGGAGGGGGAGGGGGGTTAACCCAAATGCGTACACCTGCGTATGGGGGTGTCTACTGACAATGTGGGTACGCATAGGGAACGGGGGGGGGGGGGGTGAAGCCTCGACAATAATTTGTCCACATTGGCCTTCAAATTAGTTAGATAGTCCGGCGGTGGCGTGGATTAAATATCGGCCGTTCTATACGATTTGGGGGGGGGGGTTAAAGGTACGCGTGTGTATAGGGAGGGAGAAGGGGTCAAGTGTTTGACAGATTTTTGCGTACCTACTAAACGGATGGCCCCCTTATGTCGAGTTGCCTGTTCGAAGCGAGAGTCACGCAATAGATGGCGGTGGTGGCATCTACATCTCCAGAACGTGAAGAACCAGTTGCATGTACAGGAGATGAAACGACTGTGAAAGACATTCCCCGTGTTTCGTGTACGTGCCGTACAACACGTTTGGAATCGACAGGGAGTAAGGCCGCACATAGCGACTTTATGAACAGACCTCTGGAATATTTCTAGATTTGAAGTTTTCGTGACTACAATGATCCATACTATTTGGTTCTTTCGATAAAGTCACGTAGTAGTTAAAAAACAAAGTCCATCAAATCACGACGTTTCGGAGGCAACACAAGCGTCCGTTATCAGGTGTAACTAGCACAGCAAAATTACTGTAAAGAGAGCTATTTGTGATAAGAGATTATTATTATATAGGGTGAGAGGAGGGAGGGAGGAGTCAGGGAGGACGGATGCAGGGTGGGGGGATGTTGAGAGACGGGGATCGTGAAGCTCCTGCACCACGGATGGGGGGGGGGGGGCAGCGCGGGATCCTCCCAGCCTTACTACCATCACTAGGATATCCCAGCCTTACTACCATCACTAGGATATCCCAGCCTTACTAC